TTACGCGCTCACACAATCCCCATATAACACAAATAGTGCTTATATGCGTGTAATACATCATAACACGTCTAAAATTACATAATATTTCCACAAGAATTATTTCTTACATAATTGATGCATTGTAGATGTTGACGCAAATACGTAGCAGATTTATGCGTAACGATGACCCAATCTAACTCACAATAAATAAGTATTATGTAACGAGAGAATCGGAATAAACAGACGTGAATGATAGTACGTCATTGATTAATATTCCGCTATCGATATTAGAACTCATAATATGCCTTACCAGAGACAATTTTCATCACCTCACTGCGCATCAACTTCAGCGCAGATGACCCATTAACCTAACCTAACTATACCAAGGCAACCGAACAGGTGTATTCTGAGTCCGCGTAACATGGCGCCCTGCGCACTAATTTTCGAAATAGACCATTGTTCGTCGGAAATTGCTGAAATTTTTTATGGACGTCATGCCCCGGGTAAGTAATAAAAATACATGCACTTTCGTGCCACAACACTTGTAATAAATTCACACGAAGGCATCAAATTCGCGAGGTGGAAGAAACGCGAAATTGTCCACGATCACCAACATCCTCTAAATGATGAAGGAGTTATGAACTCGAAATATTTTAAAATAAAATTTTAACATATGTATTAATATTTCTTAAGCGTAAGTACACCACACATGCAATTCAACAACTACAACTGCGTAAAAACATGAATAAGTGACGTGAGACTGTTGTGTTGCGAGTCCACAGGTAGGCAACCAATGCAAAATTTTTGAAGAGTAAAGGTATGGTAGTGACTCAAACACTAGATTGCTCATTAATTTAAGAACATTGAAATATTCGAGTGTTTAATTTCCCGCAATCGACAACAGAACTCATACGATGCTTTAACACAGACAACTTGCGCATGTCACTGCGCATCATCTTCTGCGCAGATACCCCATTAACCTAACCTAACTCAACCCGACAGCGGTAATCTGCGTCAGCTGAACATGACCTGCGCACGAATTTTCGAAAAAAACCATGGATGGTCGGAAATTGCTGAAATTTTGCATAGACGTCGTGCCATAGGTAAGTAATAAAATTTCATATTCTTTCGTGTCACAGCACTTGTAATAAATTTGCACGAAGTTAGCAAAGTCCTGAGGTGGAGAAACGCGAAATCGGCCACGATCACCAACATCCGACTTTATCAACAAGTAATTACGCACAAAAACGTTACTTTTTGTTTTCTAACTGGTGCCTATACGTGCACAGGTACGTCATAAGACTAAAAAATGCACAAAATGAATGTAGAAATATTTTTATGGCGAAGAAACTGATATTGACTAAGGTTATGTAAGGATTGGGGCACAAAAATCACCATACGTAAATAGAGGTGTTACAATTGGATCCAAATACATTCACGTGACGGAAATTAAGAAACACAGCAAATAAATAAACAATATGAATTGTAAAAGTCAAAAACCATTCCGAAAATTATGCGATTGTTCTTACGCACTGATTGTAGCGTAAAGATGGCAGCATGTGTAAAAAGACTTTCCGAATTAGACTGGTGATGACGTGCTGTTGCAGTGAGTTAAATCATTAACTCTTCTACGTAGCGATTGGCCGACAGCAGAGCTCACAAACTTACGAACTCTAACGGAGCGTAAAATAAATAGAAAATGACTTGGTTCGATTTGATTGGATAGACCTGTACATAGGCTTTCAATTACGTGAGATTGATGTCAGCCCCGGAAGTGAAAGTCAGTCGTTATTGATTTTCGTCCAGAGGCAGTGCAGTCTCGGTGCTTCAATGTTTGCCTTTGAAGTTAGCTAAGAGGTATTCACCTTCTTAAGTTCAAGCTTTCGGAC